AAAGAAAAGAAAATGGACTTTGAATGGTAAGGTTTGCTATAGGACAATATTTACCTTACAATGTTTTTTTAGTTATAAGGCCGTCTATATCATTTAGATGTATTTTAGTCATGTCTCCCCTGACCCTTAGATTTAATTGCTTCACTTGCTCACCGTAATTCTATAGGCTAGAATAATTTACCAAATCTAACAAAATATAGTGGGGATAAATCCAAGATCTCTTATTTAGACTCAAGAAGAAGAAAGGGAAAATATGGTTTAGCAAATAAGCGGTAAGTTTCAGGATGTTTTATTGACTTAAGATCAGACTCTTCAGTGGGACTACCCCTGAAAAGGTTAATGTGTGTAGGCTGTACTACTGCAAGCAGCAGGGAATGCTGAGATCATCCCTCAAGGATTTTGGTAAGTTTGTGGCACCATGTTTTAAGTAGCATTGAAACATGAGAGCTCACGCAAAGGAGAGCAGCAGGTTTGAGGGGTTAGGAAAAGGCATTATTTGGCAGAAGAAACTGAGGTTCTGAAGGCTCACAATGACCCTGGAAGGGATAGTCTCCATTTTACAGGAAGGAAATTGAGTCCCCTAGAGGATTGATGATTTATTAAAACTTAACTAAAAAGGGATTGGTTCAGGACACCTCTCTCTCTCTCTCTCTCTCTCTCTCTCTCTCTCTCTCTCTCTCTCTCTCTCTCTCTGTGATAGGCTCTCTCTGTAGCCCCAGCTGACCTGGAACTCGCTATGTAGACCAGGTTGGCCTCGAACTCACAGAGATCTGCCTGCCTCTGCCTCCCAAGTGCTGGGACTACAGGTGTGGGCCACCATGCCTCGCAAGACCCACATCTCTTGATTATTAATCTGGTGTTCCCTCTGTTTCAAAATATTAGTGTTTAATTTTATTTTTAAAAAGCATATCTGTTAGCCTCTCCATAGAGGAAATGGTTACATAGTGAATGAAAGATACATTCAGATAGGAAGATCAATATGAGAAACCAGCCTGGGTATTAGAATTCTATTCATGTATGTTGATAGAATGTGTGAATTGCAGAATAGCCATAAGCTTCATTAAGGAAGACCATAAAACTATAAATCCCTTAAAATGGCTAACTGGCAGGGCTGGAGAGATGGCTCAGTGGTTTAGAACACTGAATGTTCTTACAGAAGAACCTGGTTCAGATCCCAGCACCCACATGGCAGCTAACAACTGTCTGTAAAACTCTAGTATTCCAGTTCTAAGGGATCCGATGTCCTCTTCTGACCTCCGCGGGCATTGCATGACACGGGTGCACTTCCGTACATGCAGGCAATACATATATACACATAAAATAAAAATAACAAAAAAAATTTTTTTAAATGTCTAACTGGCCCTAAATTGGCAGTGTGGCCTTGCTCAAGCCTTGTGAACTGGTCACTCCCAAAGTGAAGGAGACTGTTTATGGACCAGCCTGTCTCCTTTAATGCATAGATGACGCACCTGCCCTGCCTGAGAAAATAATCTTAGGAAGAGAGCCTTCAGTCACTCAAGGACATTAGACCCTGGCACTGGACAAATCCCTGCAGCTGTGCTTGGTAGAATTCATGTAAAAGTTGTAGATGCCTTCTTTCTGCGGAAGGGTATCTGTCACTTGTTGTGTTCCCTGAATAAAGACCCAGTTGGCCTAGAACTCGCTACGTAGCCCAGGCTGGCCTTGAACTCACAGAGATCTACCTGTCTCTGCCTCCCAAGTGCTGGGACTAATGGCCTGTGTCACTATGCTTGGCAGGTTCTTATTTCTTAACTCTAAACGCCATTTCTTTTCTCTTCTCCAAAAATCTAGCATATGTTGTAGACATCTTTCTCTCTTTCTTTTTCAAGGTTTTTGAGTCTAGTGAAGAAGCTGGGCAACTTGTTCTTACCATCGTCATATCTGGTCACTTCTTCATTTCCCAAGGACAGACACTCCTGGTAAGTTGTGTTGCCTAATAGTTCAATCTGTACTTACTTTCCTTTATGTTGGTAGCTTTATATTAATTCTTGTACCCTCGAGCTTCTTCAGTCTTACTGAAATTCATTAAATTCAACCAACTAAGCATTTTCAAGCATGTTTTAATAGTGGGAAATACAAAAACATACTAAATATTGCATTCCTTCAAGGAGTTTTGGATTTAGTGATCAAAGTAGATGAAAGGTTGAGATTAACTAGAATGACAAAGAATTCTTAAGACTGGGGAGATTGATTTGAAGACAGGTTAGACTTGTAGAGAAGACCATGGAGACTTTTCTAGGTAAGGAAAACAACTCATGCAGAGGAAAAGAGTTGAAATAATAGCTAAAAGAAAATAATGCAGTTATTATTCATTGATAGGGCCTCCATAAAACTCTGATTTTATAACAAATGCTTGTTCTTTTTTATTGTGAATATGTATATATCTTAGAAAGTTTTATAAAAAAGCAATACACAAGCTGGGCATGGTGGCACATGCCTGTAATCCCAGTGCTCTGGAGGCAAAGGGGGGAGAATTGCT